AGTATTAAAGGATTGACTTTTCAATTTTTTACCTCAACCATAGTTGAAAGGCCTAAGGAGAAGTAGGAAATGTGAATATTTTATTATGATTCATCTCACCCACACAGCACAGTAACATTTTTACATCTTCATCCATTTCAAATTAAAGTTGGTATTATTTTAATTTATATTATTTGAGTATTTGTGAGGTTGATGCCGTTCATGTCTATTAGTACTACATTCTTTTTATATATTTCTTATACCCTTTGCTTGTTTTTCTACTGGGTGTTTGTTTTATCAATGATTTGTAATTTTGCTCTAGCATAAGGCAATGTCTCCCCTTGATACTGATCATATGTATCAAACTATTTTCTACACTAATTTATTTGCTATATTTTAATTGTTTAAATTTTTAGCTACTACCATGACATTTTTGGGCTATTATCTTGCATTTTATATAGATACATCTATTTACCTTTTGGTTTGTTGTTTCTTCCATTCGACTTAGATGTGTATGCATTTATATTCCTCTAATCAGATAAATATTCATCACTATTTCCTTCTTGTTTCACTTATTATATTCCTTTCTTTATTCCATTTGGAATTTGTTTGATGTATGATAGGAGCTAAGAAAACTCAATAGCTGTGATGCTTAGGCTGAGAGTGTGTGAGGAAAGCTGTTAACACATGAAGGGCTTCAGGCTTGAGTTTTTAATGTGGGGGGAGTATCCTCTTTTAAAGCAGGGTTAGAATGAGGCCTCTTTTATCTTGGGAAAAGGGCCCTGCTGGCAGATGCAACCACATCAACTGCTGCCTTTTGAAAAGCTATTCAGAACCCCCCCCCAAGAGGCTGCAGAATCCAGGAGGACCAAATCCAGAAAGGTGCCTGGAACTGGGGAGATTTATGAGCTGACTGAGGGAACAGGAAAGTAGTATTTACTCTACACAATGACATTCAAGTCCGTGTTTCAGTAAAGAAAATCTGAAATAGACATCATAAAAAAGCAGGTCCATATATATGATCATGTATATTTATAAAAATACTTAAGGTTCTGAAGGCAGTCTGTAGAAAAAAAAGAAAGAACAGTAAATATGTAGAGAAATCATAATGCATACTTGCTCACTGGAACATAAAGGAGCTCAGATTCTTTCACCCTCATGCTAATTTGGGGGTGTTTTGTGGCTCACAAAAAGGTAGCAACTATGATATCATATATAATGTCTAAATAAATAACTACGTATATATCTGAAAAATACAGTGATTGTACGAAAGGGTGTATTCTTCACCCCCTTATACTCTTCCTCTGCCTAAAAAAATTTAAATAGTTTCTGTCTGTAGAGAGCTCTGTAACACAGCCTGTGATTTAAGAGAAATCTAAAGAATTTTATAGAATGTGGCTATCAAGAAAAGACAAATTTTCCTTCTCAGCACCAAAGAAACTCAGAGTTTGTTATTGATGGCAGTGCTTCATCTGAGCAGGTTCTTCTTATTCTTCCTGAAACATGCTGCCATGGACTTCCCTCCACATAGTAGGAACTGTGTTCATCTCACCAGTGTGAAAGTGGGCTGAGCACCTTAAATGAAGTACTTCTATTAAAATTGTAAAAATCCTTACTTCAGTCTCTCTACCAGTCCTGTTCAATCTTGGCTGCACTTTGAATTACAAAGGGGCTTTAAAATCCCAATGCCCAGATAGCACCCAGGACAATTAAACCAGGATCTCTGGGCTGGCTAGGGATATAGCTCAGTGGTATGGTTCCTGCCTGGCAAGCATGAGGTCATTAGTTCAATTCCCAGCATGTACACACACATAAAGCTACCAGACAGTTCAAATATGTGGGCAAAGGTGGAGAACTAGTCCTCTATAAATCACTGGAACAAGATCCCAGATGATTGGTATCTTTGATTTCTCCCAGATTATATTCTTCATTCAGGCACTGAGCCATTTTGCCAAAGTGTAAACATGCCATGAGCCCTGGGAATTTCCTATGGCAGAAGGAGAAAGGCTGAATGTTCACTTTCCAATGGTTTTATTGTTTTGTTTTAACTCCCAGGTTAGTAATGTGCAGATCACTATAAAGATGAGAGGATTAAAAAATGCTTTTATATTTTATATTGAATTGATAACTTAAAGCAACATGTTTAGAAATCTAGGGGATTTTCTTTCTGTTCTTTTCTAAGAGTTTTTCATTTGTCCTCGACTCCAGAATATATTTCCTTCCAGCTTACTCCCAGCAGCTGGAAACTGCATAGCTGGCCATCCAGCCTATATAGTCTTCCATCCTCTCTTAGGGACCCTCTTTGCAGGCAGGAATTTCCATTTTGTTAAGTGACTCAGAGGAAACACTGGTAAATGAGACCTTTAGAATATAACTAATATGCTTCTGAACAGTTGATTCTAAACGGAGGACAGGGCAGTGGAATACCTATGCAGGTCTTGTAGACTGAGAAACAGCCCTTAACTTCTTTCTCCACACATTCCAAAAGCTGATGTTCGGTGATTAACAAATACAAGCCTCAAGGAATTAAAATCTAATTCTATTCATCCCTGTAACAACAGCTGGGCCCTGAATCAGTATTTCTTTGGCTGCCAGACATCAAAAGGGGAGGATATGGCTCATTCCCTATTAGGGCCCTAGAGTGGCAATCAGCAATGATTGAAAACTACCTCCTCCCTGTTTATCTTTGCAAGAATGATTCAAAGCCACCTCACACTTTGCTCTTTGACATTTGTGGGCCCTGGAACACAGCCTGTGTCATATGGGACATCTTATTTTTCATTTTGTAGGATATATCAGAGCACCTGATGCTATAGGGAACACTGTGAAAAGCCAGTTAAACTGAGCTATTTATCTACTTGCTTTCACTGATTGGAATAGGTATCCAGGGAGCCACGATCCTAGAGTAATGGAACTAGCTTGGGGTAGCTTATAAATTATCTTATAAGCTTACATATGAAAACTTCATCTGTGTAATGCACACACACACACACACACACACAATCTTCCCTTCTACCTGACTACTCACCTCACCCATAGACTACCTGTAAGAGGAAAGTGCTTCATCCGACAGTGCCTCTTCCTGCTCCATAGAAGTAAGGCTGGGAAGCCGGGGCCCTCTGCACAGAGGAGCACTGACTTTATGACAAAACAAACTAGGAAAGAACATTCAGGAACCTGGGAATCTGAGGAGGGAGAGGTGGTTTCTGACTTGGAAATCTAAGAAGTTCTCAGAGCTGAGGGCCATCAAGCAGAGGCTGGATAAGCCATGCTTTTAGGAAATACTGTAGGGAAGACCATTTGAGGCAGCAAGATAAGCTTACAAAAGGTCAGGAGATACAACAGGTCAAAATCCATTTTGTCTTAGAGTAGCAAATCATCTCATATGGCTGGAATATAGAATGCTTTTTTGGGATAAGGGGGAAAGGCACAAAGATACTGGGGCCAGACTGCAAAAGGTCTTGGAATCCAGGCTAAATGTGATTTTCCTTCTATTTCTGTTTTCTTGGTTTGGTTTGGTGTGTAGGGGGGATGTGTGTGATGTGTTTATTATAATGTATTTGGCCATACTTTTTATGTTTCAGTATTTTCTGTCTTAGAGGGCAAGGACTAACTGATATAATTGAATTTGTATAACACGAAGAACAATAAGGATATGAGTAATACCCCTTAAATACCACTGTGAATGTTAGTGATCAGGGTGCCAATTCTTTACAATGGGAAGGGGACATTGTTAACCACATACTAAAGTCTCCATGGCTTTTATAGCTGGTTCCAATTGTGCTCTGTGGTCTGAGTGTGATATGCCTATGACATGGAATTTTGAGAATGGTTGCAGAATCAAATTTTGTTCCCAAACGTTCCCCAGATGATTCCCTCATCTGTTGGGAGTTAACAATATCAGTATAAATCCAGGTTCGTTAACTAGGCTCTCATCTTCTCTGCCAAGTGTGCTAAGTTATTTTAAGCCATTAGAAGCACATGGTAGAATCCCACTGCAGCTTGGACCACTATTTCACAGCCTTGGATAGAAGATAGATCAAATCATGACCCTCAAATCTAACTACATACAGGAAAAGCCTGTATCCCTAATAACTTGTGTATATAATCCCCTAATTTCTGTTTTCTCTGGTCAGTGGTTCAGAAGCTAGATCAAAACTCTTCATCACTGTAGTACACCCGTCAGAGGGCAGATGGAAGAGCAAATGGTTTCGTGAACCTCAAAATGTCTCAGTAGCAAAGAACTTCAGTTATGGGAAAGGATCAGAAAGTTTACTTTTCTCTCTCTTACGGTCTCTTCTCTAACAAGATTAGAGGAAGACTGGAAAGTCCAGCCCACTACATTGAATCTTCTAAAGAGACTGACTGAGAAGAACCCAAAATTAATTGAACTACTGTGCAGGCAAGAAAGCTCTAAGCCACATTAGGAAGTGAAAACAAGTTAGTCTACCAAACAAAGCGATTTGACCACACAGATAAAATAAAGCTGAGAGATAATGAACCCTGCACTAAGAGGAGGTACAGATAACTGGCCTTCATCTTCCATCAGAGCTATCAGGCCCCCGTGGAAGAGCATAGGTGGAGGTGGGGAGTGTCAGGCTTTATCCTAAATCCTGCTAGGTTTCAAATAGAGCGAAAATCATGCGGAAGAAAAGCTTCAGGACCCACTTGAAAGGCAGTAACCCTCATTGTGATCTTTGAGAGCCGCTGTGCCCCAGGGTGCCCCAGATACGAATGCCATGAAACAGTCCTGAGCAACCCCCTGAGCTGGCAACAGCTCACAGCAATTTCAGGACAGGGTAGCAAAGCCCTGCTCTCCCGAAACGTGACTTGGCCCCCTCCGGGCTCTAAGCTGCCCCTGACCTGGAGGTGGGCAGGGCAGCTGCACGTACCAGCTTCCTAACTCGCGAGGGGCCTCAAGGAGGCAGCCTGGGGCTTGCCAAGCACCAACAGGTGCGGCCAGTGGTGGCCCGGGAGAGCCCGGCGGAGAGCGGCACGCACGCCACCAACCTCATACCTACCAAAGGGACTCCCTTCGGCACCCTGCCTGGAAGCCAGCACCCGGAAAGAACTAGCCGCCGGGCTCCTCACGGTTCCTTAATGTTAGGCTCCAACCCGGGCAGGGCGCTGCCAAATCCTTCGCAATGAGGTTTTGGTTGGGGTTTCACTGATACAGTGATTTCTTGCTCCGAGAGGCCAAACGCACAGTACACCTCTCGGCCTTTCCCAGACCTGAGTAATGGCAGCTGGGATCAGAGAAAGCTTTCTTGCTGCCTGGGAACAGCCTGGAAGTCTACCTCCGCGGGCGCTGTCTGTAGGATAAGAGTGACCTCTGGTGGCACAAGGGATAGCGCACTGGAACTACGAAGGAATAGGGGCCTCTGAGGAGCACGCAGGCGCGTACACATTCCGCTGCTTTCTCAATCTGTGCCCTCACCGCTCCCTCCCTCTCAGCATTTAACTGTCCGGAAGCAGACCGAAAGGGGCTGGTAATGTGTCCAGACCTGCACGTTTAATGTCTAGCATGTGGACTTCATAAACTGTAATTCTTCTACCCACATATTGTATCTAGTGTGTGCTTTCTTGACTGCCTGGTGTGTAATTTGGGGACAGGAGAGTGTGCTTCCTAGGGAAGAGACTGACAAGGGGTCACAAGGTAGTTCTGGTTGCTAAGGCCCAGAAAGTACTGCGTGACACACAGCACTTACTCCTGACATGGAGGACAAGTAAACGCCACGGAAAAGAAGATGGAGTGCAGAGGTTGGAGTCTGAAGACGGTGCCACGCACAGGAAACTGCACTGAGGAAAACCCGAGACTAGAGAGCCAGGAGGGAGAGTAGATGCAGCGTAGGAGAAAGGAGTGTGGTGGGTGTGCGACGAAATAGATAAAAGAGTTTCCTCAGAAGGATTTAGACAACCCTCTAAGAGCACTCCAGAGCCACCAAACACTCAGAGAGGTGGAATCATTCTAAATTTCGCATTAAGCTTTGTCTTAGGCTGCCTGTTCCTTATGGGCAAGCTGACTGAAAAATCATCATGCTAGAAAGGATTGTAGGGTTCATATGGTCTATCACCTTTCCTCTTACAGATGAAGAAACCTAGGATCACAAGAAGCCAAATAACTTTCTCCTAGTGGATGAGATACAACTAGTTTTGTTTACTCAGGACCCGCAAATATTCCACCCTGAACTGACACCAGCTCCTAAGGTTGTTACTGATAAAATACACACTTTTCTTAAAAGTTCCTCTACTGGGGCTAGACCACAGTGCAGCAAATTATCTTCAAAACCAAGAAGGACATTCTCATTAGACTTGCTTCCCTGGGACCTCAGTACAGTTGAATCCTTAAGTACCCACAGCTATCAAAAAATACTAATAATTCATAAAGACCAGAGACTGTAAACAATTAGTGGAGAGAAAGAGAATGACCAGGTCAAGAGGCTCCCATGGAGACCTAGAGGACCTTGACTCCAAATTGACACACTGAATCCCATTTCAATTAACAAGGAAAATTAAGAAAACAAGTTTAAAAATTAGAAAGTAACTCATATTTTGTAAAAACAGATGGTGATAAAACACAGTTGTCCTAATATTTGGATAATTTACTCTCAGCAGTTCAGGCAAGCTAAGGAATTAAGAGAAATAGTTCAACCTAGGCTGGATCATTTAGAATTTGGTTTAAAAAGTCATAAACCAGTTAAGGCAGTCTGAGCATATGATGAAAATGTGATAAGAAAGATTTTCAGAGGAAGAAATATGATCTTAGTGAGTGCCACCTGGACTTCAACAAACATGAAATACTAGATTGAAGTTTTCGGGAGGCCAGAATCTGAGACCTAGCTTAGCCTCTTAATTATCTGTATGACCTTGCCTAAGTCACTTAACCTCTCTGACCTCATCCTCAGTAGTGAGGTTACAAAAATAAAAGCACTGCTGTGCATATCTCACAGAGTTCTTTAACAACTCATGAGCAATGGAGGCCAAATAGAACTACAGTTAAGGTACCGGTACAAATTTCAGCCCACCACACACCAACTGTGTGACCAAGGCAAGTTTTACACCCTCTATATTTTGGCTTAGTCATCCGTAATGCATGTATAAGGAACTAACATCTAGTCAAAGTAAGTCACAGCATAATGCCTTTGGCATAAACAGTGCTCCACAACCAGTGACATTTTTCTGTCACTAATGTGATTGCAAACACATTGCTGGAGGTACTAACCTAAGAAGACCATAAATAATTCAGTCTCAAAAGTTGATTCACCTACTCAGAAAATATTTAGTCCTACTCTGTACCTTTGGGCACTGAAGATTCAACCAAGTGAGGGATATAGAGCAGGTAGATCACTACCTTGCAGAAAGAGAAAGGCCATGGGTATAGGTAAGGACACCCAGAGCCAGGACTCCTAACCAACACATACCCCAGAGAACTCTGTCCAAAGGGTGCAAAACCAGAACATATTCTGCAAGGATCCCCTACAGCTAGTCTGATCTGGAAAGATTGGCCACCTTCTGGGTGGAGGGAGAGCCATGCACAGTGACCCGGAAGCTAACCTGCAAGTCACTGAATTTGGTCACACTGAAGTAAAGTAGCCCAGCTGGCCTCCTCCAGTGTGAGGGTCCCTCTGGAATGACAATGAATGTCGTAGCCTTCCCACAGCAGACTAACTGTGCTTTTAAAATCTCCATCTTACAAAAAACATATGGCACCTCTTTCTCCTGAAAAAGATGTATGAGCAACTTTATAACAGTTTTAAATGAACTTGTGTCTTTTAAATCCCAACAGTATCAATGGACTTTTCTGTTAGAAAAATATTTACTACACTTTTAAATGAATTTATGTATTTTAATCACTATAGTACATACCTAGTTATTTTCATTTGAGAAATATTTATATAACCTATGTGGAGGATTTTTTTCATCCTGAAAATTCTGTGTAGATGTATATTGATGAAACCCTTTACAATGACTGGCAATTCATTGCACAACCACTTCTGTAGCATATGGCCATACTAAGATGGTGTGCAGGGGTCCAGCAGATTTTGAGTCTAGAGAGAGAGTTGAAGCAGGTCTCTTTATCCATAGCAAAGTGGGTATGGGGGTGGTTGAGTTTGGAGCATCCGCGACAAGAAGTTGCTCTGTCTGCAGTAGAAGCTCTGAACTGCAGTGATAGGAGTGAATGGAGAAAATGATACAGGCTTTAAAAATAATAAAAAATAGAATTGATTTGACCTAGTGACCTCAGATTTGAGAATGGGGGTAGAAATCTTAGAGGACTCCTAGATTTCTGGCTTATGTGGCTGGATAAATGGTGATATCGCAAAATTTTGTTTAGATAAAAACAGAGCTTAAGGAGAATAGTTTTAATTTGGACCATGTGACTTTGAAGTTGCTGTGAGACCACCATGTGGAAATGTGTAAGTCAAGAAGAAAGATTTAGGCTCGAGAGACAGCTTCAGGAAGCATTAACAGGTAGATAATAATTAAAGTTGCAGTGTGGGTAAAAACATCCAAAAAGGGAGTATATAATTCAGGAAAAAGAGGGTGCAAAATGAGAAGAGCAGGAAACCATGCTATCCTCCCAGTTTGGACCAGCTCCCCTTCAAAGGAAACAATGTCCAGAAATGAAGGAGCAAAACCTGGCAGGAGAGATATCACAGTAGCCAAGGGGAGAAAAGATTTCCAGAAAGATACCTCGAAAGAATTAGTTCCACAGAGCAATAAGAATGATAAAACCCAAAATGTGTATCTGTACACTACAATGACATGAATAACAACATAAATACTTCTTGTTACTTACCTTGCCCTTCATACTTATGAAAAACTTTCATATTTTATATTTTAATTCATTCTCCCTATAGCTTATATAACATTACTACAGATACAAAAGCTTCAAGGCCATTAGGTTAAGAGATTTGCCCGAGCCCTCCAACAGTTTAGTGACCTGGCCCTGCAATCAGAGATTTTGATCTAGGGTATTGACCACGCTCTCAGTTCCATCCAATTCTCCAACCAATAAGAAAATCAGAATGGGGATTGTTTCAGAACAGTTACTTGCTATTAATATAGATTTTTGAAAAGTGTTCTTCTCACACTTTATTTTGTACTTCCCAGAACCCAAAGATACACTACTTGGGGTTCATTTGAATCTAAAATGCTATTACTTGATTCCTTGCACCTAATTCTGTATATAAGAGAGGTCACTGAGAGGTGTTTGTGAGCAAAGAAGCAATACAATTCTGAGTGTGTTTCTGAAAGGTTAATCAGTATTATTCCACTAATACTTAACTGTGCTTAGGTCTGGTTGTTGGACATTCAGATCACCTAAAGCAAGATAGTGAAAATACACTATAAAGATGAAACCTTTCTGGGCCTCTTTTGCAACTGAACAATTTACTTCAACCTGCCTGGAACGTAGAGCAGACTGTCTTCATCAGCAATGCACCAAAAGCTTCCTTATACTTGAAAGCAAAAATTCTTTGTATATTTGATAAGGTCAACTCTGACTCTCATATTTCAATTCTCCCACTCACACACTATCCAGAGGCAGGTATGGCTGTTCATTCATTCTTCAGTAATTCCAACAGAGGAGGGGAGCTGCTTACTCTGGCTTGTCAGATCTGGACCCAATCCAAACTTAGCCAAGTGGGACCAGACCTGGAGCTCTTCTCTGCCCTGCTGTGCACTGGGCGCAATTTACAACACACTTATCTCAGAGAACTCATCATTCTGTTGGTCATGGTTCTTATTATAGCTCTCTAAACCTGTCTGTCACTCATAGCACAGAAGAATACCAAAGGCCTGTCAACCTATAATATTTTATCTTATTTTCATCTTGATGAAATCACAGCCATGTTTCCACCTTGAAGGTTAAGCAAGGCCCAAAAAGAATCATCACTATGTAATGCTGATTTTCTGCCACTGACCCCCAGCCTTATTGCCATCTGGTAGCTTGATTCTGGCCTCTTCTACTGGCCTCTTCTAAGCTTCCATCTGGACACTTGGCTGTCAGGAATAGTTAGGAAGTTGTCGGGATTCTGTGCCACAGGCCAATGGTGGGTAGCATTTCCCTCTCAACAAGCCTAAAATGACCTGCTCCTCTGTCCTAACTTTGTTATGATTATGGTCTCTCTTCTCAGGATCAAAACTGTATGATTACAGAAAAAGAATGAAAGCAAGGAAGTTAGATAAATTATGATCACAATTATCTACTCTATCACCTATTTCTCTGTGTAGCTAAAAATGGGAACATCTGCTAAATATTAAATATGAAACATTCCTAAATTAGAAAAAGTAGAGTTGTTAGATATGTCTCTGTCCTCCTTTAAAATAACCTCATATAAGTAACATGCCAGTTCTCAAATTTGTAGGATAAATTAGTGCAAGATGTAAGTGGTAGGTTTCAGAATTACCCAAAGCCTATACATCATTCCACAGGCCAGAACTCTTTAGACATAAATGTCAGACTGACCTGCAACTTGTGATTTTTTTTAAAATACAAGACATGATATAGTTTCTGTATCAGAAACTTTTTGCTGGTCTCAATGATGTGCTCTGCAGCTAGATTCCCTGGGCTGCATTCCAGTTCCTGCACCTACAGGCTATATGACCTCAGGAAAGTCACTGAGCTACTTAAGGTAAAATGAGAATTATGATGGTTCCCTACCTCAGAGGATTATCAGGATGTTTGGTGAGTTATTACAATAAAGTACCTAGGTCAGTACCTGGGAATGGCCTGCATCATGAGTGCTGGCTGAATGTACATCAGACAGACAGGAAAATGAAAGCTAGCCAGGGCTTTGTCAAGGTGGTTCCCTGATAATGAAATAATGAGTTCCCTATTATTTTCCCTACTATAGGTCAGTGCAGCTGAATGGCCAGCCCTTAGTGATGGTGGACGACGGCACCCTTCCAGAATTGAAGCCCCGCCCCCTGCGGGCCGGCAGGACATTGGTCATCCCTCCAGTCACCATGGGCTTTTACGTGGTCAAGAATGTCAATGCTTTGGCCTGCCGCTACCGATAAACCACTCACAAGCTAGCAGTGGGCCTGCTAGACAGCTTTCTGCTCTTTCTCCCTAATAGTATCTTTATTTTCCAGAACAACCTTTATTTTTCAAACCAATCTTTGTTTTTAGCCACCAACCTCTCTTGCCCCATCCCACATAGACTAGCTGTCCAAAGAGAATAAATATAGTATGAGCTTAGCCAAGATAGGTCACATCCATCCCTAAAGAAAATGTAGACATTTGTACCTATATAAGGATAAAGGTATGTTTCATTTGCATGCACTATGAAAAAAGGCTGACAGCACACTCAGGAAAAATGTTTCCAAGCAACACCCAATGATCTAGGTTTCATAGTGCTATGATTATAAACCCTAAACTTTAGCCTGTTGCTACTTCCCTCAGCAGATTAGAAAGGAAAAGCCCTGCAAGAACCTAACCCATTTCTAACTCCTTCTTTGTCTGTTTCCTGCTGCTGTCCTGGGTTTCCTGACACCTCTGTTTCCACAGAGGAGCAAATAGGTGAGTCAGCTCTGGCCTGCTGGGTGAACTGTTTATGTAGTTTCCTGATTGATGTATGTGTATGTGCATCTGGGTTTCTGACAGTAGCATCCATCACTGACTGTTCCTCTGGGAAACGGGTGCTTCAAAAGTAGAATTACAATCATACTCTAGATTTTGTAAGATTTTATTCCTCTGTGAATCCAGATCTCCCCAGACTTGGAATGAGAGTCAGGTAACAGTATTCACTGAGTAGAAAGCAATGTATTAGACACCATAAAAAGCAATCATTATCTTTCATGTTGCCAGAACTGAAACAGAGTTGTAATATAAAGAAAAAGAGTAAGGGAGCATCAGAGAGAGACAGACAGATAGACAGACACAGACACAGACAGACAGAAACAGAGAGACAGAAAATCAGTAAACTTAAAGCAAATTAAACCTCCTCCCAAAATCAGAGAATATTAAGTGCTTGAAAAGGTAAACCCTTACGTTTGGCTAACCAAACTCATTTCAGAGAAGAAAGTGTGACTCAAAAATCATTCCTGTAAGACAACCGAATCCAGCCTTTCCGCCTCTGTGTAGCAGGACTGCTTGGTGGCACTTATCCAATACGGCAAAAATCCAATATGGTCATTAAAGATGACCAGGTACAATCCTACTTTTTCTCCCAATCCTACTTATTTGAGCATAGAATCAGGGAGAAAGTGGAGTTCACGATGAGGACCTTTATGATTCTAGAGATATTTAGGTCCTTTCAAACAAGCTGCCTGCAATAACTTTCTTGTCTGTGGGTATGATTGTCCTTCTTAGAATAAATTACATGAGTGATGCTTTTTTTAAAGGAGAATATACTTGATTCAACTAAAGTTTCCAGTTAGCACAGTGTTCCACCTCTGCTGCTGTGAAGTGACAGAAACAGGGTGGGAGTAAAGGTGCTGAGGGCTGCACCGAGGAGGCGCCTAAGAGGCCTGAGGAGGAAGAACTCAGTTAGGTCTGCAACGTGGCAGACAGGGGAAGATGAGACACGGGAGGCAGTGTAAGGTTCCTGGCATGGGGAACTGGGAATGTGGAATAGAGACGTCAACTAGCTAATTTTATCTTTAAGGTAGTGGATTTAATTTCTGACATAGTTATCACATACAGGAGAAGGCACACACAGGAAGTATACTAGAGTGAGCAAAAGATAATTGAGGTTGTACTTGACCTGGTCAGTGGCTGTGCTCATCTTGGAAGCATCTGGAGAGAGAAGAGCAGACCCTGAGACTGCCCCTAACTGTGCAAGGCTCCTCAGGGGAGCCTCTTTCTCAGGAACCGGGGCCTTATGTCAAAGTTTCAATTCTGAGAGAGCAAGAAAGAAAAGTACCAAAACTGGGGTAGAAAGGAGGAAAGAAGGAACAGATGGATAGGCCAAAATAAGTGGGGAAAAGAGAAATATGTGTAAAAGATTATTTTCCCAACCTGCAGATATCAAAATCTCTTCTGGATTCCAGCACAGATTTAGCTTCAAGACAAGGTAACCAGAGGTCCTTAGTGGCCCAGTCATGGACTAGTTTGCTTTGCACACACAGAAGCCCTTGATGGAATTAACATCATCATCCTCATTTTCCATATGAAGCATGGAGAGGAACTTTAGCTTGCCCGTAGTCATCCACGGGAGTGAGTGTAGACTGAGGAATAATCTGGAGCCTGCATAGTCATCAAACTCAGTAGTCACCCAAGTCTTGGACTCACCTCCTTCATCTGCTGTTAGGTTCTGCTCATGCAGTACTGCTAGGACTTCCAGACTCCACTCAGACACCCTTTATGTAAATAAGTATTGATTCTTTATTAATCATTGCAGAATATAGGTAATTCTTGCTTCTATTGTCTTGTTCTATGTATTAAATCTTGCACCCAAGAATAAGTTTTGCTTATTTTTTAGTTAATAAAAGGGGAAGAAGAAGCACTGAAATTTACCTTATCTTTGGAGTCTTGCCATTCTAACTTTCCAGCTATCTCATGGAAGAAGTATTTGCATTGTTCAAAGAACACCAAAAAGCTCAGTATGACATCTCATTCCCTGTGGATTTTAGCACAGGACACCTGTCCTGTCATCCTTCATGGGAAGAAAGTTGAGTAAATGGGAAGAGTAGTTACTAAAACAGTGGGGGTTCTTTATGGGGATTCCCCTGTCACATGCATCCCAAAGACATCCTGTAACAGACACGGCATCACAGCATGTATTAAGGGGAGCAGTGTGGTAATCCAGCCTGAGATAAAAGAGCAAAGAGCTCATTCACCAGCATCTCCACTTGAGAGTTTCCTTCCTCAAGCAAGACGTGGCAGGTCAAGAACATATGAGACTTAAGGGCTGAGCTGTGGAAATGCCTTTTGAAAGGATAATGATACTGTGCCTTTTGTTGAGGTTTTCTGTTACTCCTGCCTTTAGAAATTATTCTCTTGCTCATTTCTTGTCATAAAGGCTCAGAATAAATTCTCAGTTTTACTAAAAAAAAAAAAAAAAGGTCTCCCATTCTTCTGGTGCCTTGAGAAAATCTGCAACTATGATACATGAGCATTATCTCTGGCTAGAGAAAAATGTGCGAATACCAGAGCTGTGCTACTGTGAGACTGAGATCTAGGACTCACAGCACAACTCCTGCAGCCTCAACTCCATGCAGGCATTTTGTGCAGTCCCAATGCAGGTGAACCCAGAAATCCACACGCTCAAGCAGGAGAGAGACACTGTATGGATACTTTCTGGGAGTCCCCCACCCATTCCCAGCACTCAGCCAAGCTATTAATCACCAGAACACAGCATGACTGGGTTCAGATTGGGCATCTACAAGTAGGCTAACATGCACTCAAGGCCTCCTTTTGCGAATGGGTGTACCTGCAGGATTCACTTCCAAAATCCAGTGAGAGTGCCTTTATTTCTGAAAACAAAAGGCCAATGTTTAATCTCTGTAGAAACAAAGGTGACCAGATATATCCCTCTGTGGTTAAAAACATTGGGACAGGGAAGGGCTGTTGGGAGCCGCGTCTGTGATAGCTCGCCTTGCGCGGCGGACGTGCGGCCTGTGGTAAAGAGCAAAGCCTGAGGTAGATTACCCCTCCCATCGAATATGTTAGTTTCCTGCTTACCGCGTAAACAACCCGCTCAACAATATAGTCTGCCTGGCAACTGATGATGTTAGCCAATCAGCTTGCCTTGCTTACTTTAACATGATTGGACACTGTACCCGTATATATACCGGTGCCACCCCTGGGCGGAAGAAGAAGCCAGGTAGAAGCCCAGAAGTAAAAGCCCAAAAGGAGCCGCGGAGAGCGGACCGGTAGAGGCTTTGGGGCAGACTGAAGCACAAAAGGAGCCGCGGGGAGCGGACCAGAGGAGGCTTCAGCTGGGAGAACCCAGGGCAGGCTGTACGGAGAAGGAAAATAAAAAGAAAAGGTTGTCCACTACCAGACTTTGTCGTGTGTCCTTCCTGCCGGCCGGGAGCGGACATCGACATTTGGAGGCCCGCCCGGGGACTGATCACCCCCGAGACGTGGAAGTGGACAACGCTCCAGTACAGAGCTGCGAGACAGGTGAGTTGGGGATAAGCCTGGGCTCTGGGTGGCGCGCACCTACAGGGCTTTTAGACTCCCCTCAGGCTCACGCGTAAGTGGCGGATTCCTTGGGCCTCACGCGGTGAGTAACATATTAAAAGATGGGAAACATGTTAGGTAGCAACACTAAGAGCGAGGGTGGTTGTGGAGAAAGCTCTCAAGAGCTTACAAAAGTACGCAGGGTATCTGAGCAGGCCCAGTCAGGGAGCTCCCGAGAGGGGTCCGTCAAGGGGAACAAGGATGCTAAGGAGGAGGACGGGGCTCTAGCCTCGGAGTCGTCTGACTCCGAGGACGAGGGAAAGTTGAATGGCAAGGAGGCCAAAGAGACCAGCTGTCAGGAGCCTAAATCGCTCAATAAGGAGTCGCAGGGTTCTTTTCCAGCGTTGCCCCTCGAATTGCGCTCTGCTCAACCTGGTCTGCGGAGGAGTAGAGAGCTCCTGAGCGCTCCCCGGCGCGAGAGGGAGGCGATCCCTCGCCACGAGGCGGCCGCCTGGGAGCTCTCTCCCCTTTCGCCAGAACAGGAAGTGATGCACGGGCCCCCATTTTCCGCCCAATCACGGCCGCTGTCTTATGCTCCGCCGCCGGCGGGTCGGTATTTTTACAGGCGGCTTTGGCAGGGGGGACGCTTGTCTCATGAGGTACATCCACCTGGGATAGATAGTGGCCCCTACGGGATATTTCCTGTACAAGTAGCTATGGGCCAGGGACGCAATGTATGGGAGCCTTTTGAGATAAAGCAGATTAGAGAACTTAAAAATGCAGTTACAACCTTTGGGCCGACTGCGCCTTACACCATTGCCATGCTGGAGAATCTGTCTTCTGGGCCCCTCACCCCCGCGGACTGGATTCAGCTGGCAAAGGCGTGTCTGCCCTCGGGCAGTTACCTGGATTGGCGAGCCTGGTACGCAGAGTTCTCTGCAGAGCAGGCTGAGAGAAACGCCAATCGGGGAAACCGGGGGTGGAACAAGGAAATGCTTATGGGAGAAGGTCGGCACGCTGATGACCAGACCCAGTTCCCCGGCGCTGTCTATGAACAAATCAATGCCATAGGGCTCCGCGCCTGGAAACAGGTAAGTGGTGCCGGAACAGCCTCCTTGTGTCTTTCAAAAATAATTCAGGGTACCACAGAGCCATTTGTTGACTTTGTGGCCCGAATGCAAGATGCTGCCGATAAGATATTTCCTGATCCGGGAGTGGCTCAACCGCTGGTAAGACAGCTGATTTTTGAGCAATGTACAAAGGAGTGCAAGGCAGCGATAGCTCCTCATAAGAACAAGGACCTCAACGCCTGGATTAGGATATGCAGAGAGATAGGGGGGCCGCTCTCCAACTCGGGAGTGGCTGCTCTCCTGGCCGCGGCTGTACAGCAGAGGGGTCCTCGCGGGTTAGAAGGGGAATGTAAGGCTAAAGGGTGTTTTGCCTGCGGGGAGCCAGGACACATTAAACGTCATTGCCCAAACAATGCAGATGCTAGGCCTCGCCCTAGGAATGAAGAACCATATGTTTGTGGGCGATGCAAAAAGGGATCACACAAAGCTGAGGAGTGTAGGTCGGTCTTTGATGCTCAGGGCAACCGTATTTGTGGACAAGATGCTAGAGAGCCAAAAAACGGCCAGAGGGGGCCCCCTTCACAGGCGGGCCCCCGCCCCAGAGACAGGACAGCTCAGGGTGGCAGCCTTCAACAAGGGCCACCCCTGGGTCAGCAGGTGTGGACCTCAGTGTCGCCTCCAGACTTATACAGAAGGTCACCATTAGGACGGATGGCGTTAGGACCCTAAATGACATGCAAAAGCTATTGGGAGACATTAATTGGATTAGGCCATATTTACATATACCAAATTCAGATCTCAAACCCCTGTTCGACCTTCTGAAGGGAGACCCAGATATAGCCTCCCACAGGAGGCTCACTCCTGAGGCAAGAGCTGCCTTACAGAGAGTGGAAAAAGCCTTAGGTGGGGCTACCTTACACAGAATTGAACCAGGGCGACCCTTTGATGTCTGTTTGCTACAGACTAGTCTACAGCCCACAGCGGTGATTTGGCAGAAAGGACCACTACTGTGGATACACCCTAAGGTCTCACCTGCAAAAGTCATAGAGCATTACCCGGAGGCAGTCGCTTCATTGGCCCTTGAAGCGCATGATAGAGCTGTCCAACATTTTGGCTCAGGACCACAAGCCATCCGAGTACCCTATACCGCCAACCAGATCAAGACCCTGGCTGCCTGCATAGATACCTGGGCCATTCTGAGATGTGTTTTCCATGGGGATATAAACAATCAATACCCTAAAGACCCTATCTTGTCATTTGTCACTCAGCACCCTATAATTTTTCCAAAGGTTACTGCCTCTGAGCCATTAGTCCTAGCAACTACAATATACACAGATGGCTCCAAGACGGGGATAGGCGCCTATGTGATCCTAGGCAAGCCCCCGGTTACCATACAATTTAAACCAGATCAGCCTCAGGTGGTAGAACTGCAGATCGTTAAAATGATTCTTGAACGGTTCTCAGAAGCCATTAACATTGTCTCCGATTCTAGGTATGTGGTCAATGCTATGCAAGTGCTTGAGACTGCCAGTTTAATTAGATCCACTTCCACAGTGGCTGGACTGTTCCTGTCTATCCAGACATTGCTTCAGAACAGACACCATAAGGTCTTCACCACCCACATAAGAGCACATACATCCCTGCCAGGGCCTATGGCACAGGGAAATGCGGCTGCTGATACTGCCACTCGCCCGTTATGGATTTTTACCTTACTAACACCAATCGAGCGAGCCCGTGCCTTCCATGATAAATTTCATGTTAATGCCAGGACACTAGCAAACCATTTCCATGTTTCTAGAGCAGATGCACAAGATATCGTGCGACTATGTAACTCCTGTGCCACATACAAACCTGCCATACCGATGGGAGTAAACCCTCGAGGTTTGATCCCTGGTGATGTTTGGCAGATGGACATCACACATATACAGGAGTTTGGGACTCTTAAATATGTTCATGTTTCCACAGACACCTGTTCTCACGTCATATTTGCAACAGCAGAAACAGGTGAAAAAGTGTCTAATGTGATCAATCATTGCCTGGCAGCTTGGGCCGCATGGGGCAAACCAAAAATATTAAAAACTGATAATGGACCAGCCTATATAGGCAAAGCCTTCAATGAGTTCTGCAAAATGATGGAGGTTCAATTAAAACATGGTATCCCATACAATCCCCAAGGTCAAGGAATCATTGAGAGGGCTCATAGAAGCCTCAAAGAAATTTTACAAAAACAAAAAGGGGGAGTAGGCCAAGGCCTGGCCCCAAAGGCACGATTATCCATGGCACTATTCACACACAATTTTTTAAATTTAAATAATGATAATCGCTCCCCAGCTGTGGAGCACTGCAACCCTTCCCCCAACCATAAAGGGTGGGTGAAGTGGAAAGATGTCCTGACAGGACAATGGATGGGCCCGGATCCAGTGGTCAGCTGGAACCGAGGCGCGGTTTGTGTTTTCCCACAGGAACCGGGACGAGAACCACTGTGGATACCGGAGAGACTGACACGGGCAACAAAGCCCTCGACTGAAGATCAGACCTGCCCTACTGGAGATCCATCACAGACCAACCAATAAGATGAATAGAAATAGCGGTAGCCCGAAATGGACAAGAAGATCCTCAGGCATATGCATGGCTTGCTCAATTGGCCCACGACCGAGTCTAGATATGGCGGGCATCCCTCATTCTCCTCCATAAGGTGACAATACACAGCAGGGTAGGTGAGTCAATGACGGGTAAGAGCGTGCCTCCCCAGCACGACTCGACCTAAGCCAGGCCCTACCCCATCCTGCACGTAAGCCGCTGGACTGTTAGATGCTGCCCAGGTCTAAATTTCTCTCCGAGGGGATTTCTTTACGGAGAGGAAATGAGTGCAAGCTTGTGTGCATCCAGGTTCCGTCCAGTTTGTGCCTGGCCCTAGAAAAAGGACGAGGGCCTCAGGGCCTTGGCAGACCATGGCATGGCCAACCAGGGTCTAAGCCAAGGACCTACGGTGGACCTACACATAGGGCATAAGCCTCTGCACCCAGTCCAGGAAGGGCTACGATGCGCACATTCATAAAAAATAAAATAGGGGGAGATGTTGGGAGCCGAGTCTGTGATAGCTCGCCTTGCGCGGCGGACGTGCGGCCTGTGGTAAAGAGCAAAGCCTGAGGTAGATTACCCCTCCCATCGAATATGTTAGTTTCCTGCTTACCGCGTAAACAACCCGCTCAACAATATAGTCTGCCTGGCAACTGATGATGTTAGCCAATCAGCTTGCCTTGCTTACTTTAACATGATTGGACACTGTACCCGTATATATACCGGTGCCACCCCTGGGCGGAAGAAGAAGCCAGGTAGAAGCCCAGAAGTAAAAGCCCAAAAGGAGCCGCGGAGAGCGGACCGGTAGAGGCTTTGGGGCAGACTGAAGCACAAAAGGAGCCGCGGGGAGCGGACCAGAGGAGGCTTCAGCTGGGAGAACCCAGGGCAGGCTGTACAGAGAAGGAAAATAAAAAGAAAAGGTTGTCCACTACCAGACTTTGTCGTGTGTCCTTCCTGCCGGCCGGGAGCGGACATCGACAAAGGGCTAATATTTTGAATTAACAACAGAGAGATCAAAAACAGTAAAGACGGCTCTAAGAAGCCAAGGGAAGGAAGGGTAGAAATGTGCAATCTAATACAGCTTCCTCCACATCCCTTTCTCTCCACGTCAGCACCATGCCCCCAGTTTGGACACTGCCAATTGCTTTTCCCACTAACTGAACAGTGTTACAGCCTCCCCAATTCCTCTGTGATTCCACAGCTTTCCCCTGCCAGTCACTGTGC